TTTCCTTTCCTTTCCTTTCCTTTCCTTTCCTTTCCTTTCCTTTCCTTTCCTTTCCTTTCCTTTCCTTTCCTTTCCTTTCCAGCTGAGGATGAGTGAATCCCTGCTCAGGCAGAAGAAATCGTGCTGCAGCATCCTATATTTAGATCAAAAGAGTTCCTTTGCTCCTCTTTGCAGCACTCAGCTCCACTCTGTCAATTACAGATTTGGATACATGTGTTGGTTCTTATTTTGCTCCTCGATCTGACAGTGGTCACGAGTGGGCTGGTTTCTGCTTCCTCTGACATGTTTCGCCCATGTTCATTTTGGTTTAGTTGGGGCGTTTATTCTGCATCATAAACGTGTTTTTGTGGATATTTTATTTTACAGGGTTCAATCAGAGCTCTTATAACTGTAAAATACAAAAATACACTCACACTTACTGCTTAAACTGCCTCTTTTTCTCTTCTCCGGGTTCTGCAAAGGGTTTAAAAGTTTTTCATTCACACACACATACAACCTACAGTGCTTACACTTTACATAGCACTTGTATTCTTATTCATCATACACTGACAAAGATGCTGTGCACCATTTACTGAAGCAGATATAATCTGTGACAGTAATGTTTTTAATGAGTAGATATTCCTTTTGATCAATAATTACAGCTCATCTGTGTTCTGTTTTAAGCATAAATAAATAAATAAATAAATAAATAAATAAATAAATAAATAAATAAATAAATAAAATGACACACAAACGTAATTCAGCAATACAACACTTTAAAAACCTTTTGTTGTTCTCTTGAATGGCATATTCCAGATGTTCTGCGAGGCTTCCAGGATCCAAAYTGAACACCAGGACCAACTGGGCCATTTTTGTTGCAGCTTCCAGTTTCTGGCTCCATCAGCTGACAGGAGTGGCACCTGGTGTTCTACTGTAGCCTGTCTGCATCAAACTTTGATGTGCTTTGCTTTCAGAGATGGTTTTCTGCAGACCTAAATGTCCAGAAATGAAGTTATTTGTAATAATGTGGAATGGCACAGAGAAAAAGTGTTGAACACACTTACTGAAATTTATCTAATACTTTGTACAAAAGCCTTTGTTGTCAATGACAGCTTCAAGAC